CCCCCCCACCCCCGTGAGCAGAAGGGCTCTCCCAGAGGGGAGCTGCACAACCCAACACCAGCCCCGCTCTCACTTGCCAGTGGGGTCCTAAGGGCTCACTGGGTTTTTTTGTTTGTTTGCTTTTATTTTTTTGTTTTTTTGGCCGGGGCTGGGTTTGAACCCGCCACCTCCGGTATATGGGGCTGGGGCCCTACTCCTTTGAGCCACAGGCATCACCCAGGCTCACTGTTTTTTGTTTTGTTTTGTTTTGTTGAGATAGTCTCACTATGTCGCCCTCAGTAGAGTACTATGGCGTCACAACTCACAGCAACCTCAAACTCTTGGGCTTATGGGCAGCACTCAGTGGTTAAGGCGCTGGCCCCATATACCAAGGATGGTGGGTTCAAACCCAACCCCGGCGAAACTGCAACAAAAAGCCGGTTGTTGTAGTGGGTGCTTATAGTCCCAGCTACTTAAGAGGCTGAGTCAAGAGAATCGCTTGAGCCCAAGGAGTTGGAGGTTGCTGTGAGCTGTGATGCTACAGCACTCTACTGAGGGTTAATAAGTAAAACTCTGTCTCAAAAAAAACTCTTTGGACTTAAGCGACTCTCTTGCCTCAGCCTCCTAAGTAGCTGGGACTATAGGTGCCTGGCTATTTTTTGTTGTGGTTGTTTAGCTGGCCTGGGCTGGGTTTGAACCTGCCACCTACTGTGTATGTGGCGTAACCACTGTGCTATGGGCACCAAGCCTAAGGGCTCACTGTTGAGCTCAGTGGCTCAGTTTCCTCATGACAAGAGGGATGAAGTAAGAGTCAAAGGAATACCTTCTTAACTCAGGGCCAGGCCAATAGCAGAGACCACACCAGTGACCATGATGCCACTTTCCCACAGGCCGTGTTCCACATGCAGTCGGTGAAATGCCTTAAGTGTCAGGAGCAGAACCGGGCAGTGCTGCCATGCCAACATGCCGTGCTGTGCGAGCTCTGTGCCGAGGGCAGCGAGTGCCCCGTCTGCCAACCTGGCCGGGCCCACCCCCTCCAGTCGTGACCCTGCAAGCCTGGCCCAGCCTGGCCCAAATCTTCTCACCTAGGACTTTTTAAAGTATATATATATATATATATATATGTATGTATGTATGTATGTATATGTATATGATTATGTATACGTATATGTATACATTTCTGTATGTGTGCAGGTATGTGTGGGTGGTGTGAACAGTGTCTGTGTGTATATCTGTACATAGATATAGACACACACTTTAAAACAGACTTACCAAGCACTTTTTAAAAGAAAAAACTATTTTGCAGTCCTCCCCTGCCCACTCCCAACCCTTCCCGCAGCAGAGACAAAATCCCCTCTTCTCCCACTGGCCTTTTGGCAGAGAATCTGTTTCTGTCTTTTTTAATGTAGGAACTAACTATTTTTAACTTCTTCCTGGGGCCTGAGCAGGGAAGGGTGGGAAGCTGGAAGGGACTGAGGGGAGAGGAGAAGCCTTCATGAGAGGCCCGGTTCTTCCAGTCTTCCCAGGGCATGGGGCATGAAGGGCTTAGGACCCTTAGGACAGACCCAGTCAGCAGCTTTGATGGCCTCAGGGAGGCCCTAAGGGGTATGCCGGGGTCTCAGCCAGCCTAGCTCCTAGTTTTACCAAATGTGTAGTCCTGGGGGAAACAGCAGGGGCTGGTGGACCAAGGCTGCAGGGCCAGCCCCACTCCTGATGTCTGGGCCCTTGAAGCTCCTCAAGGGGCAAGGCCCAGGAGTTCCATCCCTCAAGTTCCTGAGGCCTGGAGTCCCTCTCAGTTCTTTTACCCCTGGACTCCCCAGAACAGCCTCCCTGGCCCCAAGGCCACCTACCAGGCCAGCACTCCCTCTCTATGACCCCCCTCCCAGCTGTCCTCAGCTGTTCCTGCCCCCTGCCCTCTGGCACGGGCTTGGCCCACCGTGCTATCCGCCCCCTCCCTCTGGCAGCTAGCAGGGCAATTGGTGGGGAGGAATACAGACTGAGGACCAAGGGGGGCCCAAGCCCTGCCTTCCTTACCAGGATGGGCTCCATATGCATTCCTTGGTGCTCTCTGAGTGCAGCTGATGTCCTGCCCCTGTTCTGGGCAGATGCCTGTGTGCATGTGTGTGCGTGCGTGCCTGTCCAATGTATATTGTGTCTTAGCTTCCATTTTAAAAATTGTTCTGTACAGAGAGAGATGCAGCAGGGGCGGGAGGGCAGAACAGACAGAAGGCAGCGAGCAGCAACCCCACTCCCAGCACTGGGTGTCTGGGATAGGAGCAAGAGGGCTGCAGAGGGTCTGGCCCCTGGGCTCAGCACGAAAGGGCTTACAATGAATTAAGTGAAAACTTTTTCCTTTTTTACAAAAATGCAAAAATCAACAAAGCTCCAAACCTATTGGAAATAAAATATGAACTTGCAGTGGCAGCTTGTTTACATGGGGGTGGGGAGTGGGCCCCACATGGAGGCCTTTGGGCCTTGAGGTGGCCAGAAGCCAGCTCTGGAAATAGGCAAGGCAGCCAAAGAGCTGTGAAGGCCTCCAGACAATGGAGAGCTATGTGACCTAGGCCTGCTGGGGTTGGCAAGATAGGGACACAGAGACCTCCCAGGCCCTAGGACTTCTCTGTGCAGGGCTCTGTCAGCTGTGACTGCTTTACTTGGTATTTCCTAAAAGGCAGTAGGCCCCTAACTGTTTCTCAGAGGAAGACCCTTTCCCTGGAGAGGATTTCATGGTGATAGAGGAAGTATGCTGTGCTCACTCTACTTAATTCACCTGCCCCTGTGGGCTAGGGCCCCCAGGCTTTAAGAGCTACATGCTACCTCCCCCTGCTCTCATCCTAGCTGGGTCCTCTTTGTATAGCTTCAGGTTCAGAGCTGCAGGGGATCATCAATGTTAAGAGAACTGAGCAGGCCTCAGGCTCCAATTCCCAGTGCATAGGGGTCACCTCCACCAAAGTAGGATAGGGATACATCTCCTGCAGTCCTATTGTATAGTAGGTCTCCAGGCCTCACGTGCACCCCTGGGAGGCCCTGTTCACGGTGCTTCCCTCAGAGGAAGAGGCCCTTATTCTAGGTAGCAACCACAGAAACTGATGTGCCTGCTAAAAATGACTTGTTCAAAGTCATGGCCAAAATAGCAATAGTGACCATCGCCTTAGCCCCTGTTTCTGCGTCTGTGGCTTTGGAGCATGGGGGAGTAAGAATAGGCCAGGCCTCAGGGAAGGAAGGAGGAAATGCTGCCTGACTAGCTTTCTGGGCCCCACTGCAGGCCAAAAGTAAAATTTGGGCAATGGATTGGTTTTATTTGTTTATTTTGCTAAGAAAGTTTCTAGGTGGCAGATGCTGTCCTAGGGAGGAGGTATTCTCATACACAAAGCTAGCCAAACTGGCCTTGCTGCTTCCATCCCTCCATGCCAGCCCTGTTGCCTGCCAGCTCTCTCTCTCAGAGAGCCCCTGGGGAAAGAACCAAGGCTCCCTCTAGTAATGGACACCACTCCTCCTCCCACAGGGCAGGTGGAGCCTTATACTTGGCAGGGTCTCCTCTCCCTTTCCCAGAAGGTTTTGTGTCTATAGCCCTGGACCCAGTGAGCCTCCCCTCCTCTTGCTGCCAGTGGTTGGAACAGGCAGGCTGGGAAACAGATGGCCTAAGACCCTGACCACCAGAGCAGTTTTTCCAAGAGGGGATCAGGGTCCCGAGATGCTCCCTCTGCTGCTGGGATATGGCAGAAAATGTTACGGCCTGGATAGGTATGGTGGAGAGCAGAGACAATGCCAATGTGCCCCTCTCACTGGGCCCTGCTCTGGTGGGGAGACCCAGGGGGCCTGTGTTAATACTAACATGCTGGGGGGAGGGGTAGCCCCAGACCTTACAAGAAAGCCCTGACTGCTCCCTATTGGGGACCCAGCCCCACCCTCACCCTTAACCTGCCCTGCTACTGCCCTGCCCTTGGGGCATGCTGGGAGGCCTGCTTGGCTCTCTGTCGCCTCAGCCTCACAAAGGCCTGGGCCTCTCGGTCACCCTTCCGGCTCTCCAGCAGCTGCAGAATTGGGTCCCCTGTGGAAAAAGGAGTTTGCTGGTCAGACCTAGGGACTGGCAGTGCCTGGTGTGTGGGTGGGGACACAGCACTGCCCCGTGCACCCACCAACGAGTGAGCAACACAAGACACGGCCTGACAGGCAGGACTAGAAGCCTGACAGAGTGCTGCCCCAATTGTAGTGTTAGAAGCTGATGTGCCTGAGGTGGTTGGTGACTCTTTTTATGGGAGAACATGAAGCTAGCTCATTAGCTAGCACCTCATTTTATTCATCTGTGAACGCACTAATAATACCCGACTCATAGGTTATAAGAATTCGTAGAGTTAACATGTATGAAGTGCTTAGTATTGGCTCTCATAAGTACACAGGTACAGGGGTCCCCTCTGTTCAGAGGGACCCACACCCTTCTACCCTAGTCAACTCTTTTGGTGACCCTTTACCTCCAAAGACAGTCATATTACACTTGGCCTAGCTTAAATTTCACTGAATTTTTTTTTCTTTTTTGCAGTTTTTGGCCGGGGCTGGGTTTGAACCCACCACCTCCGGCATATGGGGCTGGCACCCTACTCCTTTGAGCCACAGGCACTGTCCTCACTGATTTCTTAATTAGACCCCATAGCTCATTCCACTAGATTCCACCTCCAGGGAAGCATTTCTCTGACCCTATCTCTCCCGGGGTCCCACTCAAGCCTACCGTTGGGTGTGGGATATGTGAGGGGTAGGCGGGTCTGAGGGACCTCGCCAGGCTCCTCAGAGCCAGTCACCCCAGGCACCTCACACAGTGGCAAGAAGGCCTCCCCTTCCAGATCATCAGCCCCCAGTGTGTCATGGTCCAACACGGTGAGCAAGAGGCATGCCCCAGCCTTCCGGCACGGCTCAGCAGATACAAGGCTAGCAGAGAGAAAGACAGAGTCAAGCTCAGATGCCTGCCCTGAGTACCACCATCCCCAACCCCAACACATGGGTTCACTTCCTAGTTAAGGACAGGCCAAGGCCAGGAGAAAAATGCCAGTCTGTGGGCTGTTTTACAAAGCCATTTCTCAGCCATGTGACATGACCTACCTGTCTTGAGGAACAGAGAGTAGGTCCCTGAGCGCCTCAGGAATAAGACCTTTCCCTAGGAGCCTCTGAGTTCAACATGTGGGACTCTGGGTGTCCCCCCCATTGGGCCCAAAAGTGGTTATCTCAGGGCCCATTAGCCCCAGTCTAGAAGAGCAGACCTCAGAGAGTCCAGACTGGGAGAAGAGGGGTACGGACTCACAATTCAAAGGTCTCATCAAACAGTGGGTGAAGGTCTTTTTTGTGTTTCTGGGTCTCCCGGGCGGCCAACTCAGGGAACTCATGTCTGGGCTCCAAGGTCAGCTGGACAAAGGGGTCGCTAGAGCCTGGCAAATAGCCCAAAGAAGGGAATGATGGCTGAGGGTCTCCAGCCACCCTGCCCCCAGCACCACAGCTGTCCTATCACCAACCCCTCCTGGTAACCAAGAGAAATGCACAGAGCTCCTGCCATGTGAAAAGAGGCCCCAGGGATGCTGGGACACAGGACATGGAGAGTGGCCAATGGGGAGCCTCCAGTCACCATTGGAATCCAGGGGCAGCAGGCTGGAGGCGCTGAGCAGTTCCACACGCAGCTTCTGCTCAGAGGCACGGTAAGAGGCTTTGACTGTGACAGCCCCCAGCTCCTCAGAGGTGGTTTCTTCCTGGGGAACAGGAGTATGGGCAGGGTCAGCTGGGGGTGGTGGGAAGGCCCACAGTAGGTACAGCACCAAGGAGAGGGAGCTCACCTGTTGCTGAATGCGGCTGCAGAAATACCTCTGGATGAGCTCCCGGCTGGAGGCTGCCTGCAGCTCCAGGTCCCTCTGCAGAGCCTGGGGACAGGTACCTCCAAAGAATCTGCCTGAATTGTTATACCCAACCATAGCCCAGTCCTGCCCTCTGGGGTGAGACATCAGTTTGAAATGGAAAGCACTGGGGTGATGGGACCACAGGTAAGGATGCACCCTCAGGCATGCCCAAGCAGACAGCATCAAAGAGATACAGACAGGGCTGGCTTCACAGGTGTGTGCCTGTGCTTAGAAGGATCACTCTTGGTTTAATGTTCTACTGTCTTTACCATCTTAAAATTTGTAATCTTTTTTTTTTTTTTTTGGAGACAGTCTCACTTTGCCACGCTCAGTAGAGTGCTATGGTGTCATAGCTCACAGAACCTCCAGCTCTTGGGCTCAAGTAATCCTCTTGCCTCAGTTTTTCTATTTTTAGTAGAGATGGGGTCTCACTCTGGCTCAGGCTAGTCTCAAACGTCGTGAGCTCAAGCAATCTACCCACCTTCGCCTCCCAGAGTGCTTAGGATTACAGGCGTGAGCCACTGTGCTCAGCCAGTAGTTCTGAATAAGGGGCCTGCCCACCTTTTCATTCTGCAGTGGGCCCCATAAATTATGTAGCTGGCCTTGGCCACAGGTGAGCACAGAAAGACTGGCTTCCCCCAACCTCCTACCCGGAAGCTTGCCAAAAACCCCCTACCTGGAAAGTGGTTGTGTACAGGGCCTTGAGCGGCAGGCCACAGCCTTCTGCATGGAAGCAAATCTCCAGGTTCTGGTGGGAGACATCAGAGGTGACCCCAGGCTCTCTCTCCCACCAGGGCTATTATCGCTGTCGCTGGCATTATTACCTGCAGGGCAATCTTCAGCCTGCTTGAAGCCAGACATGAGCTGCGCTGGGAGGCAGCCACCTCCACCAGCACCGTGAGCGTGTGGGTCCAGAGCAGGGTCAGAAGACTGGAGTGGGAGCCAGAGGGATGCCAGTTACCAGACAGGAGGAAGAGGAAGCAAACATGATCTTGAGAAACAGGAGGCCTTTGGGACCTAGGCCCATGCTACCCTCTACTTCCTGTCCCCCAGGTGAGGCTAGGGAGGAGGGCTGGTCTCCTGAAAGGAGCAGGAGCAGCGGGGGTCAGTCCCAGCCAATGTGTCTCTCAGCCTCTGAGAAGACCCTCCTTAGCAGGATTATGGAACCAACAAACAAGGCCAGGACATGGGCAGATGGGGAAGGAAGCTGGGCCCCAGTGAGGAGCAGCCACAGCAAACAGATTTCAGCACCCCAGCGTGGATGAGCACCTGTGCTGCCCTGCAGGGAGAACCGAAGCAACCAACACAGTCCTTTTAAGGACTTGAAATGACAGAAATGGATACACTAAGCAATCTATCTCGGTAGAAATTTAATGCTGGTTTATGTGGGGGGGAGGGAGAGACCAGCTCATTGGCTCACGCCTGTAATCCCAGCACTCTGGGAGGGGAGGCCAAGGCAGGTAGATTGCCTGAGCTCAGGAGTCTGATACCAGCTTGAACATGAGCAAGACCCAGTCTCTACCAAAAATAGTAAAATCAGCCAGGTGTTGTGGCGTGTGCCAGTAGTCCCAGCTACTTTGGAGGCTGAAGCAAGGTGATCCCTTGAACCCAAGAGTTAGAAATTACTATGAGCACCACAGAACTCTACCCAGGGTGACAGAGTGAGACTCTGTCTCAAAAAGGAGAAAAAGAAAAAGCTGAACAAATGGGCCAGGCATGATACCAGTGGCTTACGCCTGTAATCCCAGCACTCTGGGAAGCTGAGGCCCGTAGATAGCTTGAGCTCACGAGTTTGAGACCAGCCTGTATAAGGGCAAGACCCCATCTCTACTAAAATAGAAAAGCTGAGGCAAGAGGATCTCTTGAGCCCAAGAATTAGAGGTTGCTGTGAGCTATGATGCCAGAGCACTCTACCTAGGGCAACAGCTTAAGACTGTATCTCAAAAAAAAAAAAAAAACCTAAACAAATGGCATAATAGCATAATATGGCCTAAGAAACAAAGATGAGTGAGGCCGGGCATGGTGGCTCATGCCTGTGATCCTAGCACCCTGGGAGTCCAAGGCCAGTGGATTGCTTGAGCTCATGGGTTCGAGACCAGCCTGAGCAAGACCAAGACCCCGTCTCTAAAAATAGCCAAGCATTGTGGAGGGTGCCTGTAGTCCCAGCTACTCAGGAGGCTGAGACAAGAGAACTGTTTGAGCCCAAGAGTTTAAGGTTGCTGTGAGCTATGACATTACAGCACTCTAACAAGGGTGACAAAGTGAGACTGTCTCAAAAATAATAATAATAATAATAATGGCAGTGCCCATAGCTCAGTGGGTAGGGTGCCGGCCACATACACCCTGGCCGGTTTGAACCTGGTCCGGGCCTGCTAAACAACGACAACAACAAAAATAGTGGGGTGTTGTGGCAATCACCTGTAGTCCCAGCTATTTGAGAGGCTGAGGCAAGAGAGTCACTTAAGCTCAAGAGTTTGAGGCCACGGCACTCTACCAAAGGTGACATAGTGAGACTCTGTCTCAAAAAAAGAAAAAAAAAAGAAACAAAGATGGCTGGATTTCCATGGGCCGTAGCTGTACTGATGGGGCAGAGCAGGAGGACTCCAGAAGGACAGGGCCTCCATCCATGTGGAGGGCATTGTTATCACTTATCATCATATGGCCAGCAGTCATTGACCACTTCCCTTGTACTGATACTGTTCTCAGCACCTCACGTGACCCATTCAATCCTCAGTAAAGGTCAGGACCATTAATCATCTCCACTGAGGACTGGAGTAGCTACTGCTCAAGGTCACTGAGCAGTGGTGTACTTGGAGTCTGAACCCAGGTGTCCAGAGCCCATGTGCCAGACCTCCCCCAACTACCACCCTGCTGCCAGGTGTTCTGGGTCCCTGCTTTAAAACATCTTTTTTTTTTTGGAGACAGAATCTCACTTTGTTGCCCTTGGTAGAGTGCTATGTCATCACAGCTCAGCTCACAGCAACCTCAAACTCTTGGGCTTAAGCAATCCTCTTGCCTCAGCCTCCTAAGTAGCTGGGATTTTCACAAGCACCTGCCACAACACCTGCTATTTTTTAGAGATGGGGTCTTGCTCAGGCTGGTCTCAAACTTGTGAGCTCAGATAGTCTACCGGCCTCAGCCTCCCAAGTGCTGGGATAATAGGCATGAGTCACTGCACCAGGCCTAAGACATCTTAACTTAAAAAAAAAAAAAAGACCCCCTAACTAGAAGTTCTCTGGCATTAAAGCAAGGAACACCAGTTGCTTATAACATCAGAAGGGAGAGAAGCAGTTAGGACAGCCCTGAAGATGGCCAGAACTAGGGTAGAGAGGGTAGGCAGATTTGTACTTAGCACAGGCTTGAGAGGTCACGCATGAGCTCCCTGTCCCTGGGATTGAGCATCTGAGCAGAGGTTGGTTACAATGCCTAAGGGAAGTCACCAAAGAAATTCACCCTCCATCCCCCAGACTGGATGCTAAGCAGAAGGAGGGGCCCATGGGAGGGGTGGTAGGGTAGGGGCTGCTGCAGACCTGCTGAAGTTCTCCTGCACCAAGTTGGTATTCATGTAGCAAAGCTCCACCTCCAGGAACTTCATCAGGGGCAGAATGGCCTGGGAGAGGGTGTGGGCACATCTGGCTCTGATCCATTTCTGTCCCACCCCATTCCCTTGCCCTGACCCCTAGGAGCCAGGGGCCAAGAGCTTTCCTGTGCTCCATTTGTAACAACTGCAGCAGCCAGTCCTGCCCACTGCTCTGCCTCCCTCTCCCCATTGCTGAGTCTGCTTCAGCAGCATGGCTCGTGACCCTGCCAGACCTGGTCTACACTCAGCATCCTCTCCTATGCAGTTCCCTCTTGCCTGGAATGCTCTTCCCTAGAATTCCTTTTTTTTTTTTTTTTTTGAGACAGAGCCTTAAGCTGTTGCCCTGGGTAGAGTACTGTGGCATCACAGCTGATAGCAACCTCCAACTCCAGGGCTCAAGCGATTCTCCTGCCTCAGCCTCCCAAGTAGCTGAGACTACAGGCGCCCACCACAACGCCTGGCTATTTTGTGGTTGCAACTGTCATTGTTGTTTTGGCAGACCTGGGCTGGATTCGAACCCACCAGCTCAGGTATATGTGGCTGGCGCCTTAGTCGCTTGAGCCACAGGCATTGAGCCTTCCCTAGAAATTCTTTTTTTTTTTTTTTGAGACAGAGCCTCAAGTTATCCCCCTAAGTAGAGTGCTGTGGCATCACAGCTCACAGCAACCTCCAACTCCTGGGCTCAAGCGAGTCTTCTGCCTCAGCCTCCCAAGTAGCTGGGACCACAGGCGCCTGCCACAGCACCTGGCTATTTTTTGGTTGCAGCCATCATTGTTGTTTTGGTGGGCCTGGGCTGGATTCGAACCCGCCACCTTAGGTGTATATGGCTGGCGCCTTAGCCACTTGAGCCACAGGCACCAAGCCTTCCCTAGAAATTCTTATGGCTCCTTCCCACGCTTCCTATGGGACTGACTCAGCTGTCCCTCTCTGGGAAAGGCCTTCCCCGGCTACTATCTAAAAATACAACCTCTAATGCTTCCCACCCTGTTCTGTGTTGTATTATTCTCTTCAGGACTTATCATTATCTCACACACTGCACACATGCATGTGGTTCCACGCATGTGCATCTGTGTATGTATTTATAGTTAGAGCTACAGCCATTGCTTACTGATTTAGCTCTTCTTAGCCTCCATAACTAGAATATAAGCTCCAGGAAAGCAGGAATTTTTGTCATGTTGTTCATTGATCTGTCTGCATTCATAAATCAATGCCTGGGACAATGTGGGTGCTTAATGAATAGTTGATGAATAAATAACCTCCCAAACAAAGGTGTACATCATGATATCCCTTACAGATGAGGAACTGAGGTCAGCTGGCTTGTAAACGTGGGATGGCAAATCTAGTAGGCAGCTGAGAAGGATGCACACTCAGGTGTGTTTGGCTGCAAGCCTGAGCCTGTCCTCCACCCCTACAGTCCCCACAGTGACTGGCAGTGCTGGGGGAACCTGTGAAGTAACCCAACCCGGACCCATAAGCATCCAAGGAAGAAACTGAAGCCTAACGAGAGCTTACCGGTTCTCAGCCTGTGGGTTGTGACCCACAGGAACTGTATTAATGGGCCGCAGTATGAGGAAGGTTGAGAAACAATAGTAGAGCTTATCTCTAATACTCCCAGGTCTTCAATGCCCTGCCCAATCTCACAACACCAGACCCACTGAGCCAACAGGGCAATGAAGGTCACTCACATCCTCAGGTGGGACAGACTCCCTGACGCCCACGAGTTTCTGGATGTGCTTGGCAATGCCCACCTCCAGCTGGAGACACAAAATGGTAGAAGGGAGGCCAGGGCATAAGTGGGGACTCAGGAGATTTCACCAGGAGCCTGTGTTTAGGTGCAAGAAGGGGCAGGGGCTGGACATCAGGTCCTGCTGGGGCCAGGTTTCAGGCTGAGGACAGGGTGGGATAGGGTTGCTATGGGGTTGGACAAGGTACCTGCTCAGCCAGGGTACGGACACCAGTGCGGATCTCGTGGCTCAGCCCAGCAAGTGCACCCTGCAGCTGGGCATGCAGTGTATTCTGTAGCTGCCCCTGCTCCAGCACAGCCCCCACCCGTTGCTCCAGGGTCTCCCAGGACAGCTGTGTGGGCAGTTTGCCGATCACTAGCCGTAGCTGCTCCATGTCATTCACCACCACGCACAGCTGGGGGCAGGCATGGGTACAGGGACACAGCTTCCTGAACTGTATCAAAACTGGTACACCCACCTGGCAAGACCCCCAGCCCCAGCTCTGGCTGGCCCTTACCATGTTGGCTGCCTGGGCCTGGTCCTTCTGGCCTGCAGAGAGCTCACGGGCCCGGGTCTTTATAAGGCTGCAATACACCAGGGCCAGCCGACAGGTGTCCTGGATGGGGATGGGTGGGGGGAATTGAGCCGTGGGAAAGACAATTGGGGGACATGGGAATCTCAACAACTTGGGAGATTTAGGAAACAGGCTTTGGGAGGCTGCTTGTGTGATAACGTGGGAGAAACTACATGGTAGTGAGACTGTTCTAAGAAGTGGGGAAGGACACATGGAAGATGCTGCACGCACCTCCACAAATTTGACAGTGATCATGAAAGCCTCCTCTGGATCTGGCCAGTCCAGCTGCCGGGCAGTGTGGCTGATCTGGGCAAAGCAGGTGGACAGATCCACAGCTGATGTGCTATGCTTGGTCAACTCACCCAGGGGCACCAGCTGGGGGAAGGGAGAAGTACTTAGAAAGGAGGGCTCCAGAGGCTGCCAAGTCCCACTCCCTCTCCAGAAGCATCCACAGAGGAGCTACCATTGCCAAGAACAGAGTTGGGCAGGGGGTTCCCCCTGGGACAAGTAAGCCTCAGCCCAGACCCTTTAGGCTTCAGGATCCATTTGCAAAGTGAAGCCGCAGTTAACTACAAGGGTATCAGGAGGCAGCATTTTGCACACAACTAGCCTCAGGAGCGCCAGGAAGGACATTTATAGAGAATTACCTGCTTTCACCTCACCCTAGAGCAGTGGTTCTCAACCTTCCTAATGTGTGGCTTTTTTTTTTTTTTTTTTT